TGGGGCGCACTGACAGAGGCGAGGCTGCCGGACACTGGCGCCACCGGGCCCTCTGACCACCACCAGTAGGCAACGGTTGAAGTGTCTTGCCCAAGGACACAACAACCAAGACTAGTTGCTACATCTCTTTGTGATGGGTCAGCTTTTCTATCTGAAATGTGGCTGTTTGGAGCAATTCCCAAAGTGTTTGCACTACTTCCTCACCTCCCTGAAGCTTAGTTTGCCATCAAAGTCTTCATCCACTTCTTTGATCATATTTTTCAGGCCCAGGTGAGTCTGTGGAGCTCCCAGCTTCTCCATCATCAGCTTTAGCTCCATCAGGTCGATGAAGCCATCTTTCCCAGTGTCATACCTACAAGCCATGAAACCCACACAATGTCAGATTCAGTCAGCTGGGAGTATGAAGACACCACATTTAATTCACACAGTCATTATGTATCTGCACCTAACGTTTAACAATTTTTGAAAAGGAAAATTAAAAAGAAAATCCTCAAAGTCAGTCAACTAGTAACAGCACTGGTGAATAAAAGCAGCAGTATGTTAGGGATGCACCAACCACAGATTTTATAAAGCTGTGAATATATTGTTTGATCTCTTTAATCCACTGTTTACTTTGTTATGTGACAGCAGTCTCATTCTCATTGTAAAGAATACAGCTTAAAAATTGTTTAAAAATAAACATTTAACAAGCTACTGTAATGGTACTTGAAAAACACCTACCTATAATTTCTTCATCTATGCTCAATCCTCCAGGTAAGGAAATCCCAAAAAGTTGATTCCGTTGATTCTACGCTACATCCAGATGAACAAAATCAACTTTTTGGGGCCTACCTATAATATACTTACCTCTAAATAGCAATTTTCCAGCCTTATTGACCACAAGTCACATTTGTACCACAGCCAGTTTAGAATCACAAGTGCATGTCTTCAGAGTTTGAGAGGTAGCCGGTGTACCTGAAGCAAACCCATGCAGGTACAGGAGCCTCAGCTTTAGTTCAAACCAGGATGGCATTTCTAACATCTGCATCACCATGCTGCCTAGCACCAAGAGCTTCTCCAGATGCTGCTCTGCTCATACAGTGCATCATCAGTAGTAGCTCTGTTTGGGATTGAGGCCATCTGATCCAAGACAATATCAACAGTTAATTATTCTAAAAATGCCGTATCCATTCTACCACTGGTGCTGCAAGGTTTTTATCCTTCAAGTGCAAGCTTGAAGGATAAAAAGGAGCAATGTCCTTACACTTTCTCAAAAGCGTATCCTTACATTGGCATCTGTGTAAATCTGTAGAAAAATCTGCATCTGTAAAATGTATGAGACAAACTTAATATGAATTATATAAAATTTCAGGTTTCTAATGTTATCACTTTTCTTGAATGACAGTGTGTAAAATCTCCCTGTTACATCTGTTACATCAGTAGATTACAGTTAACTGAGTTCTGTTATCTTACCCTTCCTAATTCAAGTGTATGAACCAAGCTGCAGTGGCTGCTATGGGACAAATGTGTTTTAGTCATGAGAGACCAGTAATATTAAATTATTTGAATTAATATCAATGCTTAGCAATAAATCCAGATATAACTAATATGTGCCAGTTAAATATTTTTGCATTATTTTAGGTTTTTTGAGTCACCTCAAAAACTCTGGCTGCTGTTCATCTGTAGTGAGTGTAGCCTGTTTACTTTAGCTATCAATATGCCAGGTATCCAGGGTTTTTGTTTTTTAACTCTGGAAGAGGCTGTAAAACTAAGAATCGATGAATCAGTGAAGATTACTTCTGTCTGATGAAAGTGATAGTGACGGTTGATTGCTGAGGATATCTTGAATTTTTCTGTCTGTAAGTGCTGCTATTTTTGCTGCTGTTGGCCAGCATTAATGGAACTGAAGTGCATTGAACATTGATAGATTCACACAGTATGACAATGTAATTAAACTGTTTGTCAGAGAAAAAAAGTGTGACTTTTAGGACACTTTACCTTAACATCAGCTGCATAAGCTGCTAGCTTATACAAGCGGTTGTTGAAAATTGAAAATTAATCTTCATGTATTTTTGGGACACTGCAACCGTTTCTGCTTGTGAGCATTGGTTTCACAATTGCAAGCCTCTGGAGGATCCTACACCTTGAGGTTCATGGGACTCCAAAAGGCACTAGCAGCTTTAAATATCTGTTTGCTGCTTTGTAATGACATTTTAACAGCTGCTCTCTTAATCTGATGAATTTGTCTGGCAAAAACCTTCCTCATTATGCCTTTATCTATGCAAACTCATCTGTGCTCTGAATCAGCCACAAATTTCTTCACAGTAAGATGATCATGCTTACATTTTTGTGAAATATCTCATGTTTTCATACCTTCTCCAAGGCATTGCACTATTTGACACTTTTCTGGAACAGACAGGTTCTTTTTCTATTCCCATATTTTTTTAAACCTGTGGCATGCTTAATAACGTGAAACATCTTAACAGCTTAATAATGTGATTTTTTCCTTTAATTGGGCTCACATGACAAACTAATTATGGCAGGTGTCTGAGATTGATATCAGTGATTCAAGGAGCCCTGTGTGTATACACAATATGAGTTTAACTGAAAACAAAAAATGTAAAGTTTATATAAAGTTTATAACACTAAAATCCTATTTGCATAATAATTTGGTAAAATAAATGGTAAATGGCCTGTATTTGTATAGCGCTTTACTTAGCCCCTAAGGACCCCAAATTATTTGAGGGGTGGTGGCTTCGCTGGATCCACTGTCCAGCCACCGTGTGATGACCCTCCTCCCGGATCCCCCCAACCAAGGAAATTACACCACTTTCAAGGCACTGCTACTTCCTCTCCGATGCAGAGGGCTGAGAAACTCCTCTCTCTCTCTGGCCTGGGTGATGGCACTTCTCTCGAGCTCATGGAGAGCATTCTGTCCTTGCTAGAAACGGATGACGGCGGATTCCTCTTCACTCATCTCTTCCTCTGACAGTTGCCAGCTCCAGTGCCAACTCCCCGCTGCTGGCCACGGATTACCGCTCACTCGCAGAAGAAGGGGATCACATTCTCCAGGCTAATAGGAGCTTTGGCATCCAGGCGATAGTCCCCAACTCACCGACGGCATCTCCGTGCCCCCACTGATTCTCCTGGGGGCCCCCGACTCATCGATGGTGGCTGGAATCGAGGCATGGCGGCACCACGGAAAAGGACTGTATTTTTACCAGCGTTTTGGTGCTGCAGCACAGCGCCGTCTGCCACCTTGCAGTTTTAATGCCCAGGGAAACAACGGAATAAGGAAAGGCTGCCCGACTCACACTCGGGAGATGTTTTCTGGTCGACTCCGGCTCCCAGAAGAGCCTCGGGAATTCTCGTGTCGTCTTTGCATACCTTTTTGTATGTTATTTAATTTTAAATAAAACAAATTAAGATTTCCCGCATACCACTACAGGTAGCCCAAGTACAACGAGTGATACGCGTACCAAAGTTTGAGAACCACTGGCCTAGGCTATAAGAATATTGCCAACCCCCTGAAACTGAGCTGCAGCACAGTGGCCAAGAACTCGCCATGGTTAACCAAAGAAGTTGAGTGCACGTGCTCAATGTCATATCCAGAGGTAGTCTTTTGAAAATAGATGTATGAGTGCTGCCAGCATTGCTGCAGAGGTTGAAGGCATGGAGGGTCAGCCTGTCAGTGCTCAGACCATATGCCGCACACTGCAGCAAAGCGCTGTCGTCCCAGAAGGTAGCCTCTTCTAAAGCTAATGCACTAAAGCCCGCGAACAGTTTGCTTGAGACAAGCAGACTAAGGACATGGATTACCTGTGTTCTGATGAGACCAAGACAAACGTATTTGGTTCAGATGGTGTCAAGGATGTGTGGCAGCAACCAGGTGAGGAGTACAAAGACAAGTGTGTCTTGCCTACAGTCAAGCATAGTGGTGGGATGTCATTGTTTGGGGCTGCATGAGTGCTGCCGGCACTTGGGACCTACAGTTAATTGAGGGAACCATGAATGCCAACATGTACTGTGACATACTGAAGCAAAGCATGATCCCCTCCCCTCAGAAACTGAGCCACAGGGCAGTATTCCAATATGATAACAACCCCAAACACACCTTCAAAAAGACCAGTTCCTTACTAAATAAACTTCGGGTAAAGGTACTTGACTGGCCAAGCATGTCTCCATACTTAAACCCTACTGAGCATCTGTGCGGTATCCTCAAATGGAAGGTAGAGGAGTGCAAGGTCTCTAACCATCCACTAGCTCCATCATGTCAACATGGAGGAGTGAAAGAGGATTCCAGTGGCAACCTGTGAAGCTCTAGTGAACTCCATACCCAACAGAGTTAAGGCAGTGTTAGAAAATATTGGTGAACACACAAAATATTGATACTTTGATACAGTTTGGACATTTTCATTTAGGGGTGTACTCACTTTTGTTGCCAGTGGTTTAGACATTAATAGCTGTATGTTGAGTTATTTTAAGGTGATATCAAATTTACACTGTTATACAAGCTGTACACTGACTACTTTACATTGTATCAAAGTGTCATATATTCAATGTTGTCCCATGAAAAGATATAGTAAAATATTTACAAAAATGTGAGGGGTGTACTCACTTTTGTGAGATACTGTAGGTTCTTACTCTCACCATAGCAATGATGCTGGCAGTTCAAAACTTGGAGTATCCCTTACACTTGTATGGAGGAAGAAAAATCACATGAATAACAGCCATACACCGCTCCACTGTGGCGTGCAGAAAACATCTCAGGTGGGATCTGCTTGTCATGCCAGTAATGTTGGAAACCACCAGGTTTATCAATGTTAAATTTTTTCCCCATTAGAGAAAACATATCTGGTCGGGTGTTTCGGGAGTGTGCTGACCAGCTTGCAGGCATCTTCATGGACATCCTAAATACATCACTGGACTCAGCTGTGGTACCTGCATGCCTTAAAACCATGAAAATCATCCCAGTGCCAAAGAAGTCCACTGTGTCCTGCCTCAATGACTACCGGCCGATGGCACTTACGCCTATCATCACAAAGTGCTTTGAGAGGCTGGTATTGAGGCACATGAAAATTCAGCTTCCACCGAATCTGTACCCGCTACAGTTTGCTTACTGCCCAAACCGCTCCATATATGATGCCATCTCGTCTGCTCTTCACCTTTCTCTCTCCCATCTCGACAAAAAGGACAGTTATGTCAGAATGCTGTTTATTGACTTCAGCTCAACATTCAACACAGTCATTCCCCAGAAGCAGTGTTGGGAAGGTTACTTTTAAAATGTATTCCACTACAGATTACAGAATACATGCCGCAAAATGTATTTTTTAACGTATTCTGTTACGTAATGTATTCTGAATACTTTGGATTACTTAATATATTATCAAGCTTTTTACAACTACATGAATGTACTATTGCTTTGTGATTTATTACTATTACTGAAGGATACTCGCCGTACCAATACCAGCTAGATTAAATCTTAATATAAATGAGTAACAGTAGGGTGGACATTAGGTAAGGCTGCACTTTTTGCAGTGATCTCGTACAGAAAACTATTCCACACGTATATAAAACAGGTCCGCAGCTCCAAACCGTAGTAAAGACCTCTGGCTAATATGTCGGGTTCCGTGTCGGCTCATAGCTGAAAAGTAGCTTTACTTTGTTGTCTGGCTCAACTTTGCTAGCGAGAGACAGAGAGCGGCATTGAAAGGCTGCTCCAATGGAACTTATTGTTTCAGAGGAAAACACAAACACAGTGTACAGTCGAGTCTTAATAGCTTACTTGCAACTGGGCTCATCAGGCACTTTTTTTGGCTGCAGTGGCTGTTATTATATTTACATGCTTCCCTCTCCTGTTTCTGGTCAGTGACAACTTGTACTCATTTCGACTCTCCTTTTTCTCCCTCCCTCGCGCTCACAGACACATAACAGGTATGGCAGTCCATTCTCTCTGCAGCAGGGACTACACTGCCCACGAGGCTACATTTTTTAGGGCTATGCCTGTAACACTCTGCCTATTGCCTTCATATTAAATAATTTTTCAAATTAATAAAAATATTTATTTATTTTAAAAATATTTCTTCACGTCATTTATGTGGGCCGCAGTAGAGGTGACGTGGGTCGCGAGATTGAGACACAGGCATTAGAGCCTCTTAATGCGTGTTTTGTTTGGGTTTCCATCGGCGGTGAATTACCAAAAATAGAGAGGGAACAGCCTAACATATGAAACAGGAAAGACCGCCGTGTAATCCATTTATTTCAACAAAGTAACTGTATTCTGAATACTACCCTTTTAAACTGTAACTGTACCAGAATACAGTTACTCATATTTTGTATTTTAAATACGTAACACCGGTACATGTATTCCGTTACTCCCCAACATTGCCCAGAAGCTGGTAAAGAAGTTGGACCTACTAGGAATAAACACCACTCTCTGCAATTGGATCTTGGACTTCCTAACTGACAGGCCACTGAAGAAGGCCAGTCTCCCTGATCTCACATCATTTTACCAGGAAACCATTGAGAAACCATCTGCTGCTACATCACTATCTGGTACGGGAACTGCACCCTCACTGAAAAGCAGTCTCTGCAGCGGATAGTGAGGACAGCAGAGAGGATCACTGGAGGCCCTCTCCCACCAAACTCTACGACAAACACATCATCCGACGTGCGAACAGCATAGAAAGGGACACTTTCCACCCCCTCACATGTTCTCCCTCTTTCCATCTGACAGACAGTTTCGCAGCATTTAAACCATAACGACCAGACACTGCAAGAGCATCTTCCCCCAAGCAGTCAGAGCCCTCAACTCACTACCACCAAAGGACTGATATACACATACACCTTTACAAAAACCTTAAAATACTCACCAAAAGACTCACAAATCCACTATAAACTGGACCTGGGAACAATATGCTTATTTGCACACTCAGTCACATAGTTTCTGAACACACATCTAAATTATACTATATTTGCACATTTTGCATTGTCAATGCATTGTCTACAATATCCTGAAAATAACTTGAACCTGGTATTCAATACTTATTGCACAACCCACTTTGTCTTGTCTTTGTTTATTGTACAGTAAGTACTGTATAGTTATCACGGTCAGATTTTGCCCATTCCTTTCTTCTTTAAATGTGAAGTGGTGTCGGAATTTTAAAGTAAGAAATGCATTCCTGCCCGTGCACTGATAGCTCTGTTGTGCTGGCTCTGGGTCCATTGTGTAACTGATACCACCAACATTAACAGAACGCTTACATTAGTGCCTCTTATTGCGTGTTTTGTTTGGGTTTTCAGCAATGCATGGAATTACAAAAATTAGAGAGGGGATAAAGAGGCGATAACCTAACATATGAAACAGGAAAAGACCCCTGTGTATTCCGTTTATTTCAACATAGTAACTGTATTCCGTTACAGTTACCGCTTAAATACAATTTAAATATTTAAGCGGAAAATGTAACAGAATACAGTTACTCATATTTTGTATTTTAAATACGTAACACCGGTACATGTATTCTATTACTCCCCAACACTGACCATACAAAATATGATTTCTTTGTCATTTTTCAAATGGTCTTAAACCTTTGATCGGGACTGTACATGTAGTTAGTGGGGTTATATTAATTGGTGGTTCTGCCTCTTTGTGTTAAGAATAAGACAGACTGACAACCTGTCTAGGACAATTCATGCCTCTTGCCCTATAGCAGTTGGCTCATGACCCTGAACTGGGAGAAAATATATGGATAAACCACTAAATGACTATAGTCACAACCACTAAATGCAAACTGCCTTGTCAGTCATGGGTCATTTGTAATGTAAGCGTGAGGCTTCATAGACAGATCCACTCCTTTATTGTTTTCAAAACATAATGACACTGCAGAAATACCAACTTCTAAACTTTAGAACAACAGTTTACAAACTAATAGGTGACAATTATTGTCATTTGCCATCTATGGGGAACAAAGGAGAACAGTAGCATGAGCAGAATGAATCGCATTTTTAATATAAAATAAACAAGACTCTACAGACAATACTGCACGAACCTTTAGTTTATTTAATATACTTTGATAATTTGTTATTGAAGAAGAATGAGACAGTTACACCAATTTTAGGTGCTGCCCTATATGATTATCAGGGCACAAATTAATAAAGTAACCCAAAGAAAGCGGGGGGAAACAACCGAATCCACCCCCAGGCTAGGGGTAGGCCAGGCTAGATTCATAAAAACAGGTAAAATACGTTTTTTAATAGGAGTTAAATTATACAGGATGATAACACACAGCGAGCAATCTGTGTCATTTTAAGATGTCAAAAAATCCGAAGGGTCCACACACTAAATGACCCCCTGTCATTTTGTCTAATTCGGGCTTTTAGCTCCATTGCGTTAATTTTTCTGGCATACTGTGTTTGTGCCTAAAGCGCATTGTTTATTTATGTCATCTTTGGAGATGTTCGGCGTCAGTGTGTCGTCTCCCGAGGGAGCGGCACTGACCTTAAGAAGTCCTCCATCTGAGCACGATACATCACTACAAAGACACCGGTTTAACGTGCAGAGTGTTTGCACAGAGGCGCTAAATCAGTCGACACGATGACAGCCAGCCTGCACCTTGGCTAATCTCATGATCCAGCCGTGCACGCTCGTTCGCCCCCATTCTCTGCGACTGAGAACAACAGCCGTGACTGCCATGTTTAAAGAGACAAAACAAACAATTGGTGCAGTCTTACCGCTTGAACATTCCCTCCATATCCTTAATCTGCTTGCGGGAGAACTCTTTGAACTCGGTGTAAGGGTTGAAGACCCGGGTCGCTCGTGGTGCAGCGTTGCCCTCGTTGATGTCCAGCCTACGCGTCAGTTTGGCGGATAGCTCGGATGATGAATCTCCACAGGCAGCATCTGACCCCTGCGGTTTGGGTCGGACAGGGCTCTGTTCGGGCTCGGGCCTCGGTACGGCCTCCTGTGTAGCAGAAAGCCGCGATTGCAGCTTTCGTGCGAGCTCTTCAGATGCCATGACGAGGATGGAACCCTACTTTGTGAGGCTGTCAGAGAGGATGGAGCGCGAGTGCTACCACCGTTAAAGTGCGTGCACCCGTTAACGAGATACACAAAAGTGTTTCCGGTTGAACTTCAGAATAAATTTTTCTGCGTTTGTACATGTTTGCAAAATGAGCCGATTACTCGCTCCCTAAATGAATGCTAGCAAATGTCTTGGCTGGCTGCTATGTCTTGCTTTAGCAAACACAAGGAGACAACTCAAAATTATGCTGGTTTAAACTGAAGTAATTCAGAAGACGCTAATATCCGGGAAAGCCGCTTTATTGTTTAAGTGCGTGGGCAACGTTAGGTGAACAGTTTCCCGTTATGTCTGATCTAGACTTCTGGGGGAGCCTTTGTACAGTCTTCTCTACGTCGCTGCCCACCAGAGGCGGTCCTAGCCTGTTTGGTGCCCTGGGCTAATGCGCCGTCTCGACGGGGGCACATTGCCAACTGTGACTTGTGAAAATAATCTGTTTATATTTGTTATTAAACTTAGTTATGTTTGGTTAATGTTTTATATGGAATCATACCTATGTGACAAATACATAATACTACATAATACTTTGAACTTGTGTTACTCTCACCTTGATTAACAACACTAAAGACAATGCATCATTAGAATACAAAGAGACTGCACCAATCACTGACAGAAACCTTTCCTCTAGTCATGCAATTTATTGTTCACAAATTTGCAAAGTTATGTGTTGATGTACTTTTTCTTAACTTCATCTGCACAATTGTTACACTAGTTCCAGTGGCTGTAATGCTATGATATATTTTATTAGTCCTTACTATCAGCTTGCTAAACATAGGGATACCTCACAGGTCCTGATGATTTGGTCTTGTTGAACAAGTTATGAATATTGTGGGGCATTTGTTTGCTTTTAAAAAAAAAATTATTTGTACAGTTCTGAGGTAAAATGAGTATTTAAATATAAGAATGTTTAGTTTAATAAAAAGGTGATTTAATGGTTTACTTGAAGGGGATTTCTGATTCCTATTGCTCTTTTTTCCAGAATATATATGTCGCGACTGGGGCAGCAGTCGTGCGGAGGTGAGAAGGAGGATCCAAATAGCAGACTGGTGCAAGACCAGGACCAGGACCAAAAACGGAGGCCCCAGAGTCCCAAACAAAACGTCCACAACATACACTCAGGTGGCCGGCCCGGGGGGCGATAGCACAGAAGGCCAGGATGAGACAGTCCAGAGGGCCAGCCGTGAAGAAGTCATGGTGGCGCCCAAACAGTTCAGGAGGCCAGCCACGCGGGAGGCTGAAGCCGGACCAGGTGAAGCTGCAGACGAGGCTGAAGTTGACACTGAAGCTGCAGACGAGGCCAAAGCCGACGCTGAAGCTGCAGGCGGGGATGACGCTGATGATGATACTGCTGCCGGCGAGGATGATGCTGATGATGATGCTGCTTCCGGCAAGGAAGATGCTGATGATGATGCTGCTGATGATGCTGCTTCCGGCGAGGAAGATGCTGCTGCTGCTGATGCTGCAGGCGAGGATGATGTGGATGAGGGTGATTTTTCTTTCTTTTTCTTGCTTTTTCTCTCTTTTTTTTTTTTGCCTGTCCCGTTTGGCTCTTTTGCCATCAGAATTATTGTCTAAAGGCAAAGAAAGATGCCCAACGGATTTACTTTACCAAATGGACCATCCCAGCCTTGCCGTAATGGTCTATTTGATTCACCTTTTATTGTTTATTTTATTTTTTATTTTCATTTGCTAGATACGGGACAGACTTGAATGAGGAAAAGAAAAGGGAGAAAGAAAGAGGGAAAAAAAACAGCAGAGAAGAGGGACGGGGATAAAGGGCAAAAAACAAAAACCAACAAAATAAGCAGACAAAAATACATATATCAATCACCTGGATCACCTGTTGAGAAAGAAAAAAGAAAACAAGCATTTAACAAGGGATAAACAACATCATGCTGATCTATGGGAATATAACAGTAAATACTAAGTGTTAAACATTATTGTGCAGCACGTAAGATCGACAGTGCACAGTGTGCTTTAAGGTAGGAGCTAAAAAGGGTGTAGTTTGTGTGTGTGAGCACCCGTGTGTACACCTGTGAGGGATGAGGCTGACGCTGCAGGCGTGGATGTGGATGAAGGCGCGGAGGCTGGACCAGACGAGGATGAAGGCGCGGAGGCTGGACCAGACGAGGATGAAGGCACGGAGGCTGGACCAGGCGAGGCTGAAGACAGACCAGGTGGCGCTGAAGGCGACACCGGGGGAGATGCGGGTGGTGGCGCTGAAGGCGACGGTGATAGCTGGAAAGGCTCCTAGTTCCCCCCAGCAAAAGCAGCAGGCTGAGGCAGTTCCTCGGACCCCTCAGAGAAAACGGTCACAGAACCAGCAGGCACGTGGGCCTCTGGTACACACGAAACAAAACCAGCAGGCTTGTGGGCCTCTGGCACACACAGAGCAAAACCAGTAGGCACGTGGGCCCCTGGCACACATAAGGAAGACTGCAGTTGCGCGGAGCACTGACCCTGCTCAGGCAGCGACAGCCGGGTGCAGTCCTCAACTGGCTTCTTAGCCTCCAGGGGTCCAGAGTCAGGTGAGGGCTGCAATTCAGCCTCTGGGGAGGCCCTGGAGCAAGTAACAGTCTGAAAACTAGCCAGTTCATGAGGAAATATGTCAGTATTAATATGTTCGTCTCTCTGCTCAAGGTGAGCACTAGAAAAACAGTCCAAAATGGGCGGGGTAGGCACAGCCTCCTGAAGAGGGGCAAGCGACGACTGTGACTGAGCAATTAACTGTGCTACTGACTGCTCTATGGACTGCCATAGAGGTTGTAATGATGCTAGTTGTGATGGTGGCTGAGAGGCTGACTGAGCTAATGGCTGCTGAGCAGCTAACTGAATTGATGGCTGAACAGGTTGTACTGACAGACATGGAGCAGGTAAAGTGGGGAAATCACTGGGAGTGCCATCCCCTGTCACGAAACACTCAGCCCCAGAGTACAAAGTCAAAAATAACCAGTGTTGGGTAAGTTACTTTAAAATAGTAACTTAGTTACATTACTAGTTACTTCTCTCAAAAGTAACTCAGTTACTTCAAGTTACTCGTTACTTTCAAAGTAACTAGTTACTAGGGAAAGTAACTTTGGTTTTACTCAGAATTCTCTTGTGTTTGCTTCCATAACTTTGCCAGTCTTCTAGCTTGCTTACTTGCCACAAGTGCACTGTGCCACCTACCAATAGAAAGGAAAAGATAATGTGCATATTTCCACGAGAGAAATCCCACGCCTGGACCGTCATTGACTGCTGCCATGATTCTAGCCTACGTCACAGCGTCATGTGCGCCTTTTACATCCAACACAAAAACTGCAGTCGTGGTGCTTTCGATTGTACTCAGAACTCGGAAATTCTGCCTTCTGAATAGGAAGATGTAGGTAACACCAGACTGCAGATGAGCTGCATACAGGGCTGGACTGGGACAAAAAAATCGTCCCGGGCATTTTGACTAGAGACCGGCCCACCATTATAGGAAAAATCATAAAGCCTTTGATTGAAAATAAACACTGTTGTGACAGTGATGTACACTGTTTTGATGGTATATATGCATCAATCTATCAATTGTTTGTTGTAAGATTCAGATAATTATTTTTTAAAAGCTAGACATTTTAAATGAGAATAAGAAAGTATTTCCTTGTGCCCCCCTTTCCCCCTAAAATTCAAATAAATACTTGATTTGACAACTTCTCTTTTAAACAGTATGTCTGGGAGTACAAAGACGGTAGTCTCAGCACAAGAAGAAGAGCATGCTAGCATGAATATTAAGTAACGCGTTACAGTAACTACGTTATTATTGTGGTAACGAGCACGGTAACTAGTTATTATGCCAAAATCAGGAGGTCACAATGAGGACATCAGGAACAGGTACATGACTAAATCAGGTGTGTGGAGAAACCAGAGAGTCCTGCTTCTGCACTAAAACCAGAATACACCCACAAAACAGAGCAAAGACAGAGCGGCTAGTCAACTGGTAAGGACAGAGGGACTGTGACAATGTGGGGTATCCAGGTTGTGATGTATTATCACCCCCCAACAATTTTATTTCAGCTACTTTTTCTAACTCTATGTTATTTATCATCAGTTTCCTAGCAATAGAATTTGTAAGATTCCTGAATATTATGAATTTTGTTTTACTGAAATTCAGTGTTAATTTACTGTAGTCAAACCAGGGCTTTAGTTTAGTGATACAATCTAGCAGTATCTTAGACTGTGGAAGTAGAGAGATGGACCTTTGGTTTGTGAGATGTTTATCTCCAGCTTCATGTGGCTCAACCCTTGCAATCTACATCTCACAAGGAAATAAGTCATTATGTAATGACAGATTTCAAAAGTAGGTAAATCGTTTCACAGTACATTTGATTATGTTTTTGATGAAATTCATGTCAATGCCATCACAGCGATTTAGTTTCTTAGAATTTAATGATGTCACTATATGGAAAATTTACTTTTCATTTGTTGCCTTGTAAACATTGAGTTTGCTACACTTATATTTTTGGTTAGAGACTCTTAGCCCAAATACACATACATACATATATATATATATATATATATATATATATATATATACACACACACATACACACACATTGGACTCTTGCGCTCTGGGGGTCTCTGGATGTCTGGAGCTTGGATCTCCTCCACACCTGCTTCATGCCCTGGGGACGGGGCTATGGCTCCCCACACCCCCTAGAAGATCATTACATGAAGGAACCTTTTGAATACAAGCACAGGTGTACACACGGGTGCTCACAGATACAAGCTACACTCTTTTGGGCTGCTACCTCAAAGCACACTGTGCGCTGTCGATCTTACATGTTGCACAATAATAGTCAATATTTAGTATTTACACATAGTATTTACACCCAGTCATGTCTGTCCTGTATGTAACAACTGAAAATAAAATAATAACTGAAAAATATCTTAGTAAAAATAAGAAAAAATATTTATATTAATATTTTCACCTTCAGTTCTGTCAAACAGTGAAGCACAATGATGTAAATGTTCCTTGCCATTAGTGTCATGTTTGCTAGGCAACCTGAGTATAGATGGTTTGTCCCAATGTTTCACATACTTTACCAGTTGACAATAAATAAATAAATAAATACAAATTTGGGACCTTTTTCTTCTCCTGGGTCACCACTAATTATTGTGGTCAGTTTTTTGTTTTGTTTTCTCCTCAGAGGCAGGCATGTTCATATGGGTATGAACAAGCCCCTAAAATAATCCATGTTCAGTGTCGGCCTAATTACTACTCATGTTATGAGTGTTAATTAGATGCTCATAATCTGTAGTTGCAGTATTTCAGCTTCTACCTAGCCCCACAGAAGGAGCATAAGCGGAGTAACCTTTTTTAAAATGACAAATAATTTCAAATGCAATGGTTCTATCAGTTTAGCAAATATCAGCAAACACACAAACTGTTTTTGCGCAGTTTGTCGCACTCTGCGTTTGCTAGCTCGGGTAGAGCTGCTTCCTAGAGAGAGAAAAACAGTACAAGATAACTTCACTCAGAGATGGAGAAAGATGGAAGAGGAGAGGAGTGGTAATATTTAAAGGAAGGACTGCTCAGTGGTAATTAATAAACTGGAAATTTAAAGTTTGTAAGTTCTCATTTTTAAATCAGATATTGGATCTGACTATGAAGTTTAGTTATGTTTTTTCATATTTTGAAAATCATGTTCAGTTTGAACATGATTTGGGATAAACAGGTTAGGTTGTTGTGATGGATTTAAAATAAAGAATAGTGTGCTGGGTTGGTGTACAGCAGCAGCTGTAGCATTCCTGTTGTTCCTGTTGCAAAAAGGGTATCAAAGATTGATTTGATGATGCTTAGATCGATTCACTCAATTCCACCTTCATACCAACTTTATATGTCTAGTATAAAGACAGCAACAGTGTAGTGTCAGTGTAGGGGAGGGAAATCAGCCAAGACAGCTCATGAAACATCTTCTTACACCTCTTTAAATTCAGACATCCAAGTCCACAATGAACAGCAGCAGCACAAATCAGTTGATCACAGCCTGTACAAAAAGGAAACCTACTGGAGCTCAAAATAGAAATTCTTGTCAGCTGGCGTTCTTTTCCCCATGCTTAGCCAACCAATACAACCAATTTTAGGGTTTCTCCACCTCCTGAATCCCATTGTAACCCCTGACCGTACTCATTTGCTGTTTCAATTAGGAGGCAAAGTCAGCATCTACAATATAGGCAACAGAAAACAGAGCCCTTTTTTCTCCTTATTTTTCACTACTCCTGGTCTATATAATTGATTGAAGCTAAATGACTTCATTAGAATTAAAATTTAGACTTAATTTTTTGGGTTTTGCTTACCTGGATGATTGAACATGCATGTTTTCATTAAGAGAAATAAAGTTAGTGCTTTAATCACTTAGTGATTTGCTCAACTGTATGAAGCCTGTTGACATAGTGAAAGATTTTTTTTAATGTTAGAAGACAACTAATAATGGTCATGAATATGAATAATGGCAAGGAGGTTTTCTAAAGACAAGATATATAGATATATAGAGAAATAGCTATCTATCTATGAATGTTTTTAAATACTTCTAGTAGTTACCCGTGTTTCCATTGTAACTCCAGCCACTCCAATAAATCGCTGGAGCTGAGCTGTGATGTCATCACGCCCGCGTCCTCCCATGGAAGTCTAGACTCCCGTGTGAACTTACTAAGTACAAACTAGCAAATAGGGAAATTGCGTACTTTAGTTGGTCAGATTTTTATTACGTTGCACTTCTTAGCCCTCGTGATTTTTCCGACACACATTTCCTCGACCTTGATCTTCCTTGATGTTTTCGATCGAGGTTATGGAAAGGTGGATAAGAGTTACGTTTTGGACTGCTTGTCGTCAGCACTACCGGAAGTTGAAACATGAAACTCATCGACGGTGAAGCGGAAGAATGACAGTCGGTGTGATACATATGTTTCTGTGTGTCAAGTCCTTAATGATACTGGACAAATTTGAAAATTTGAAAACCTAAAAGGAAACGGCATACTGCATGCGTTAAGCTACTTTCCTGGACAACGTGTGGTCGGGAGACGAACGATAAGACGGTGGTATGTCTTATTGTATTTTATGTGTAGTTTGCATGATTGTTAGCTATGAGACAGTGGCATTTGCAGAAGAGACGCAGACGCTATATGTAGTCTAAGCAGAGTTATTATATTCTTAGAAATACCAAAATATGTCTAAATAAATATGAAGGCTATCACAAAGGGGGCTGGTGACGTGTTAAATAAAGACATCTTGTGGAATTTGGTGAGAAACAGTATTTCGTTTCAGGCTGGGTAACACCATACGAAATGACAATAAACGTCTTGAGTCTTAAGAAAACAAATGCATGCAGATGTATGCAGATGTAAGATTGTTTTTGCATCAGTTGTGTGACTTTATGCTTTAACTGTTAACAGAAAACTTCCCGAGACAAAGAAGCAGCAGAAAAGGATGAATCTCCTCCCCCACAGGTTGGTGATTAACTGAACCTTGATGCCTAGTGACTTAAAGGCCCTGGCATAGTAGTGGGGATGTACGATATATCGAATATACTCGATATATTTCTATGTACAACGGTTAAAAGGGCATATCTTAAGCTGTCCTGCAGATAATTCACTGTGAGTTATTTTTCTCCCACACAGCGCAAATGCATCATTAATTCCACCCTCCCAACTGGAAAATTTTTCTACCCAGCACACTGTTTATATACTATGTCTTTTTATATACTACCATATAGGGAAAAATATGGCGATAGCGGGAGTTTCAGAGCGAGGGAATGAGACTCACTGTCATTTGGATTCACTGCTAAATGTAACAGTACAGTCAATTTAGAACAGGTCACTTACTGACCGGAAGGTTGGTCGTCCATTCCCAGTCTGCCCAGTCTGCATGTCCAAGATAATCTGGGACTCCCCACCATTTGACCTTAGAACTGAAGAAGCTTCTCGAATGACAGGTGAAATGTCTTCAAGTAATTTAAAGAAGTCCAGACGCTTTTCTTTGCAAGCTCCTTTGACTACTTCTATAAACTGTATTTATTATAACTGTATTTATTATAGTAGCAACAGCACCCCCCTTAGTCAGTGTGCAATATCACCGATCAAACGGCACCTCACTCTGTGTGTGTGTGTGTGTGTGTGTATGTGTGTGTGTGCATGCGTGCGTGTTGCCAAAAGAGGATCAACAAGCTACTGAATCATGGAGTGTACTTATGTACTTACTGATTTACACACTGCTTCTGCATTTCGGCTTGTTAAATAAGTAGTGGAAGGTGTGTAAACTGCTAGGACATGTCATAACTTAGGACCAGTGACTACATGTGTAGTCACTGGAAAGTTAGTTTCATCTTTATGTCAGCACTCATAGAAACAGGCTTTGCTCAATGTTTCTGTTGAGTGTGTGAAAAATGTGCAAGAAGTTGAGGTATGTTAGGCTGTGTAGAGACATTGTCCATACAATAGTTGATGTGACTATTTTCCACAATGGGATGTAGTAAAGAACCACCATCTACTTGTGGCAAATGTTAATGCAAATGCAAAGTATTATGCAGAATAATATTAATATGCTGTTAATCATTTTATGAATTTCACTTTTTTGTAAACGACGACTGGTGTCATTCATTTAAACTGGTTCATATTTCCATTGTTTTCTTTGTTTGTAATAAAGACCCAACAGAATTCTTAGGAACCTTGCAGGAAGTTTCTCAGAGCAAAAGTAGACAGGTTTCATTTGTGTTTATATTAATTGTGTGCAGTTGCGTAAAAGTCAGTGCTTTGGAGGTGTAATAACTTATATCTGCTGCAATATGCAAACAACAGCTTGTTCCTACATGTTATTCCTTAGCGTGATTATCAGATTAAGTAAGCAGCAAAGTAATGAAAGCAAGTTGTGCTTGAAATGTTGTTCTCTGTGCATTTGTATTTTATTAAGGTTGTAAACAACAGCTGAACTAATCGGCATGATGCATTATTTTTTCCAGACAGATGAGTCATCTACTCAAAACATGGAGGATGTGGCAGATGGGAATGGAGGCTGCACCCTGGCCAGTCTCTGGTTTTTACTGCAGGAAGTTTACTACCTCAAACTCTTTAGAACTAGGTCCACACTTCAGTTCATTTTCTCAGTTATTGTCTCTTAAATGCAATATCAGTCAATTGTTTGGTAGTAATGTCACAGTACTTTGTAGAACAGTACAATGATGGTATTTCCTTGTTACAAAATAAGGCCTGCAATATGGGCCTTTTGCCCTTTCATTTTTTACAAAGTTGTTTTACATTGTACATTGTTGTTGTACATCACTTAGCCGTAATAGACTGGGGTGTTCTTGTTACCCTACTGGGTGGGAGGGCGACATGAACACCCAAGTTTATGAATACAATAACTCGGGTGGAGTTTCAAATGGATACCCTAGGTATACAGCACTGTGCAAAAGTTTTAGGCTGGTGAGAAAAAATGCTGTAAACAAAGAATGCTTTCAAAAATGAAAGTGTTAATCAAAAGTGCCGATGCTTCCATCCAGCAGACGCTTTCACAGCATCGGGTCCCGATCCTCCAGACTGCGAAATAGCTTTTTCCCGCAAGCCATCAATCTCACTACCGGCTCTCCCACCACACACACACAAACAAACAAACAAACAAACAAACTGTTAACTGACTCTATTGCACTCCCCGTACACTGCCTTTGTAATGCAGATGCTGCTTATGGACAGTCATTACTCTCAAGAATTCTGCTCATGTTTACAAGTTGCTACACTGGTCACTTTAAATCACTTCAAGGTGACCTTAAGCGTCAAACTGTAAATTGTAAATTTCAAATAAATTGTTACTGATCCCTTTGCCCCTAGTCCTGAATTATATATCTATTTTCTACTCTTGTTATATTTGTTTGTTTTTACACTGATGCACCTGGAGCCTTGTCATCTCGTCTCTCTATATACTGTACTGTATATAGCGGAGATGACAATAAAGTGTAATTTGACTTTGACTAATCAACAAAATGCAGTGAATGTACAAAAGCGAAATTGAAATCAAATCAAGATTTGGTGTGACCACCCTTTGCCTTCAAAACAGCATCAATTCTTCTAGGTACACTTGCAAACAGTTTTTGAAGGAACTCGGCTGGTAGGTTGTTCCAAACATCTTGGAGAACTAAGCACAGATCTTCTGTGGATGTTTCCTCGCACCCTTCTGTCTCTCCATGTAATCCCAGACACACTCGATGATGTTGAGATCAGGGCTCTGTGGGGGCCATACCATCACTTCCAGTACTTTTTATTCTTCTTCACACTGAAGATAGCTCTTAATGACTTTGGCTGTATGTTTGGGGTCATTGTCCTGCTACAAGAATACATCTGGGGCCAATAAACAATCATTTATATTTCTGAAAGCATTCATTGTTTACAGCATTTTTTCACGCCTGCTTTAAACTTTTGCACAGTACTGTGTATACTAAAACATTTGAGTAGTGTGGATCTCAGTGATCTCAAACTCAAGGTCAGAGTCCAAAAAGGAAGGAGGAAAAGACTTTTTCACAGCACTGTACATCAGGATAAAACAGATTCAATTTGATCATTGTATTAAATTAATTATTGCATTACCACTTTAATAAGGTTTCATCACATCTGAGAAAATCCACCACTTAAAGAATAAAAACTCCTTCTTTTTCTTTCTCTCTATAGACCCAATAGAGATCCACAAGAGAAAGCTCCTCCTATGGTTTAGCCACCTTCCTCAGGAGGAAAAACAGTTTGGAGGTTTCTTCAGCCCTGAGACCATGCATGTCGACCCACTGATCCTTGAAACTGATGCTGAGGAGAGGGCAGGACTACTCGGCTCTCCATTCCAAACCCAAACACACTGTAATCGCTCTGTAACTGTGGAACAGCTGTTTCAGCACACTGACACCTGGAGTGATGGCCGGGGGCTCAATGTCCTCATCTATGGTGCTGTGGGAACAGGGAAAAGTACAGTGGTCCGAAAGCTGGTGCTAGATTGGTGTGCTGGCACCACTCTGAGCCACTTTCAGCTGCTGATTCCTTTCTCTTGTGAGGACCTCAGTCAACTGTCTAAGTAAGATGGTTCTCTTACTTTTTATCACATGTAGAAAATTTATAGAGGCACAACTTTATTGATTGGGATTTAATGTACTGGTTGTTATACTTATCATTTTTATTTTCTTAGGTCCTAATATACATTTTAAATCTCTGACAAACAGTGTTTTAGTTTGCACATTACATCTATTTTCTTTTATTTAGTTTAACATTATGAATGCTTTTAACTCTGCCTTAATCGCCTTTCAGTTAAAGTGCAGGAGAACTCAGCAGGAAAAAGGTAGTTCTCTATCCACTATTAGCTTTCCATGTAATCATATTTGGGACAAGCCAGCATCAGCAAATTTATGGTTTTAGACTCATTTAAAGTTGTTGCAAAGATTGCATTCATAGCAGGCTAACAAATAACCACCAAATTGTTTCTTTGTTAACCCTCGTGCATTATTCTGAATTATCCTCCACACTCCTGTACACACGCACACATACACATTGACTTCAGGAGATCAAAATTACAACAAACATAGTACAATTACTAGGGTTGTCAGTAAAATTGATACCTGTATACTGATGCATATTACAAATTACTATGAGATTAAATACAGACCGTCTGTATGAGAGATGCAGCCACACAGCCCATACCCTTGCTAGCAGAGGAAGTAGTTCACAACACTGAACACTTTATAAGGAATGTAAGTACATTTTCATTTATATATATTTTTTTCATTCTGTCCTGTCTGGCAGCTTTTGCAATCAGAATTATGATCTGATTGCACTGTGCCAAATGCATTTTGGTTTTCCAAGATATATAAGTGTTAGCCTACCTTCTGCTACTATTTAATCAGTAAATACCAAGTCACAGCAAGCATAGCACGACCTCAAGAATCCTTTTTGTTTTTATTTTTTTCTTGCATTACCTAAGATAATATTAAACGGGTTGTCATCATTGGCGGAGCGGGGGGGGGCTTACTGGGCTTAAGCCCGGGGTCTTTTGGAGTGTAATTTTTCATAGTTAGATGCCTTTCTGACAACTGTATAAAACAAAAACTACACACAATATTCGAAGCACATAGTGCACACTGTGGGAATTTACGACTGTGCGTAAATCCCCCCTAATATTGGTATGATCCGAGCTCAGACACTAAGTGACTGAGCGAGGGGGCGGGGGCAGCTGCTGCCTGTTGGAGAAACGGAGCCAGGCAGACAGAGGAGAAGTGAAGTTTGACCAGGTACCAAAGCAAATCATTCGTACTGTACAAATAATGTAAATATGACGGTGTATCACAAAAGATTGATGTCAAACTGATCACTTGACCCATATTACGTTACTTCTCTTCAAGTGAATCAACAAATGGCGAAATGAAAAGCCGAACAACAACAATGCT